TGACATTAAAATTGGATGTCTTGGCAAATAGAATATTTGTATCTTTACTTCTTGTAGGCAGTTTGCTGAGTAATTTATATGATCAGTTGTAATTAGCTTATCAGGTTGTGAAACATTGCTAATTTTTCATCCTTGTAAATTCACATATTTTCATTGCAATTGCTTGACCTGTTAAAACAAGAAATGAGAAATGAGACTGATTTTGTGTTATTCTTTCATAAACTACAAAGTCCAAAGCCTATCTCTCTAACAGTAACAGTAGCCTCATCATGAGTTTGTTGGACAGTGTCAAAGTTCCTAGCATGTGATAATTCTGCAAAATTTTCAATATCTTTTCCTACTACCTTCTAGACATAGGAGACTGATTTTTCTTTCAATTCCAGTTTTTTCAACAATTTCCAAAAAAGTAGTTCTCTGATATTAAATATTTTAAAATTTCCTAATGTTTGTTACAATGCATAATGTGAACAATTTGTAGTAGTAATTTGGTTTGAAAATAGATAATTTACAAATAATGATTTTAATCTTCATAAATACATTTCACATTATGTTATGATTTTTTTTGCTGACAGTGTTTTTCCTTGATTAATGATATACAATATCTCTATTGATATTATGGACATAGCTCTACTGCTATGTTAGGAATTTTTTTCACATGCTAAATTATATGAACTAATATTGATTAATTCTAATCACACTGACCCTGGAAAGTAAAAAAAAATCTGTGATAAAGTTATTTTACCTTAGATTGTTTATAGTTAAGGTTTTTTAAAACTCTAACTCTTGCATCTATGGTTGGGACATGTAGAAATGTTTTGTGAAGGTGTAAGATTATTCAAAGTAAGTGAGATTACTCTCTGTGCTCATTTAGATCAGAGCAGTCTTGCAGTTATATAGAATATAAAATTTGATGTTTTACAAAGTATTCTATTGCTTCTTTACTTGACTGCTGCATATTTGCCATTGGTCTGGTTTTAAGCATCTAATTGTGAATTCAATTTTGTAGAGAGACACTTGGTAGTTTAGTCATTTTTTCCTCTTTTCATGAAAACTTGGTTAAATATAGTCATGCTTTCTTTGAAATCTGCTCATTTTGTTATTTTCTTTTTGAGTTTCTTGTAAGCTTTTCTGGTCTCCATAGTTTTGTACTGGTGTTCTAGAGCCTATCTTTTTGCCAAACTGATTGATCTATTTAGTCCATTTTTAAAATAGGCTATCCCAACACAATTTTTTCTTTGTTATTTTAAATGCACTTTAGATAATATTTGTAGATCTTTACCTGAAAATCTACCTAATAAGTCAGCAAAGATTTGCTTTGAACTCTATATCTGTAGTCATATAAGACAATTACATTGATTTAATCTTTAATCCTTTATTCATTATTTGTATTTTAGGGAAATAAGTTTCAGGAAACCAAGACCATGGCCAGAGTAAGAATTATCTTAGCTATTAGGAAAACTAAGAAACCTCCACAAACACAGAAACACACACACACACACACACACACACACACACACACACACACACAAAAATAGCAATTGTATGTATCTGAAGCTGTATGTAGAGGTGCCTAAAATAGAAACTGTTATGTATACTTTTTCATTCTTCCAATGGGTACCTAAAATAGAAACGGTTATGTATACTTTTTCATTCTCCCAATGGCTATATGCTTATAATAATATATAGTATATTATAATAAGACCCCACTTTCCCAAAACATGAAGGTATCAGGGCCATAAGCTAAGGGTTATCTTATTGTTAATCAGGTTGTTTTAAACACAATTTTAATGCTCACTCATGCCTAGGATGCATTTCACACTTTTATTAAGCCAGGAGGCTATGGATGCCAAAGCAGAAGGCAGATGATTGCATTTCACCTGCTAATTGAGTCACTTGATGTTTACTGTTTGCATTTGCTGGACACTACTCCAGAGTCTTGGATTCAACAAGAATGAGCAGTTAATATCTCTGTTCTCACAGCTGTCTCTGAAAATGTTTTCAACCTGGCTGGGCTGGTCTGAGGCTGTGACAGTGGCAGCCAGGGGAGCAGGCTGGAGAATGTGCTGCCTCATTCTGCAGGCTGGGACTGAACCATAGACAAATTAACCTGGAGATTTCAGCTGAGGTTTGAAATGGGTTTAAATCATCCCTGCTGTCTTCAGCCTTGGAGCGCCTTCCTACCTCTTTACTTCTCTGCACTCCTCTCCACATCCACTAAGACACAACCCTCTTGTTTTCTCCTTCTGCAAGTCCACTGGATTCCACAGGCAATTGCCTCTCCTCTGTCTCCCAGAGAGACAGGATTTCTGTTTTGATCACTATATGTGCCACGCAGTACCATAATTGTGCATCACTCTGTTCTTGGCAGACGGTGAGTCATCGTGTGTGTGCTGATCCATTTTCTTTGTGTAACACTCTTATAAATTAATTTCAGAGGCACTTTTGCAAAAGAAAATGCACTAAATATGTGTTAACCTAGTAGTGAACGATTAGGCTGCTGTCTGCCTGTTTCTTACTGCATGACCCTCTCACACTGTTCATTGAGCTGGCCTCTAGTTTTTCTAGTGCTACTCTAAATGACATCTGTTCCAGTTGAGTTAGTCAAATTGTCCAGCCATTCTTATAATAAAACTGCTCACCCTTTTCTCATCTAGTTTCATTTCAGCAACTGGAACTATACACAAAGGGAAATAATTCTTTGCAAAATTTCTCCTTCTGAGCAAAGCAATTTGAGTTGTGACAGTAAAATCTAGCTATGCTACCGGATCTCTGGACAGTATTTACAATAGTTAAGAAAATGAGAACCTTCTGGGTCAGATCTTTAAGAGAGATCATTTTCCAGCAAATGGAGCTCAGTCCTGTAAAGCAGGATGTAGCTTTAAGGGCAACACTGGCCTTTTAGTTTTTCTGTCAACAAATGCTGTTTTTTTCCTAGGGTGATGAGAGTGGTGTAGGAAGTCTTCTGGTACTTCTCAGAGTTAAAGTGTTACTTACCTTCTGTAGTGTCCAGCATTTAGTGGGTTTTTTTGGCCTACCTTTTCAATGTTAAATCATTAAATCTTAGCATACTATTATAGAAACATGAAGAATGATGCTATTATTGTTAAAAATAGAGGCTTATGTACATGTAATGTGGAGACATTTTACTGAGAGTGCATGTACACATCATGGCAGATCAGAACGCTCCACCATTCCAAGGGAGTGTCCTGTGCTGCATAGTTTGGTGCAGGCATATTCTTTTTTTTTTTTTTTTTTTAGTACCGGGGATCGAACTCAGGTCCTTGTGCTTGTGAAGCAGGCACCAGAACCACTGAGCTAAATCCCCAACCTCAAGCATATTCTTAATTCAGGGCTCTTAGCACAGGAAAGTCTCAGATTGTGCTTGTGAGTCCCACATATAGCCCCTTCCCCTGAGCATTTCATGTTTGTAGAACTTGAACACACAGTGCTTTTGGGCCTAATCATGAAGAATCTTTCTCGTAAAAATCTCTTCTTTCCTATACATGATCTTACTTGAAGGTAGAGTCCCTATTTAGGCAAAGCTATGAATACTGCCACTACTGTTAATGTCATTAAATAAATCTTTTGGTTGACCTTAGCCTGTGTTATTCATTTTAATAAATGTTATCATTTAGCCACTTCCATTTTACGAGTTGTAAGTAAGTGTTATCTTTTTGACATCTTATCACTAGGATGGGACCTCTTGTGGGACATTAAATCAGTAACTAACTTACCTGTGCTTTGGCTTCCTTTTCTCAAATTGAGAATCATCAGCCCACAAAGTATCTTTGATCTATTTCAGTGCTAAGGTTTTATGAATAAAAAGTAAGTAAATAAGTTAGGGGTTTGAGCTTTTTTCTTCTCTTCCCTTTTCCTTATCCTATAGAAAAATGTGGCAGAATTGAGGAGGATATTAGTGTTTTCCTACTTGATTCCTAAGTGATTCCTATGTTCCGAAAAGATTTGAAAATTTACCTGAACAGAGGGAACTGGCAGCTTCTCTGGTCAGGTGATGAGCTGGCTTCTCCAGATATCAGCCTGCTGCTGGTAAAACACATGAATTCTGTGGTGCTCTCTCCTGGTCTTCTGCACTGAGCATTGTGCACTGTGATTTGAATATAATAGCTGGTATGATTTTTCACAAAGTAAATTTTTATTCTCCATCACCGATGCTTTACATCTCTCTTGCTTGATTGTTCTATCATGCTGTTTTCAGTTTTTCTGGAAAACACTAAGCTCTTCCCTCCTACAGCGGGGCTTTGCAACACCTTTCTCTCTGCCTGAATTACTCCCTCTTATGCTTCCTTTCCCATCCTTTTCTCCTTGCTTCCTCATTTGGCTGGCTCCTTTCCATCTTTCAGATCTTAATTTCAATTTCTGTATTAGTCACTTCCCTGCACTGGGAGAAAATATCAGGAACTTGCAACTTAAACGAGGAGAGAGGTTTATTTAGTTCATGATGTCAGTGGATTCAGTGTGTAGTTGGCTGGGTCCAAGGCAGAAATAGCATTGTAGAGAGGTTTGGTGGAGGAAAGTTGTTAGCCCCATGGCAGCTATGAAGCAGAAAGAAGGGAGGATCTGGGGACAAGAATGTACCCTTTCAGATCATGCCCCCAGTGACTCACCTCCAACCATTTTTCTTGTCATAAATCTTTATCATAGAGCCCTGTACACAAGCATAGCTTTAATTGTAATCTGGATTTTTTTTGTTTTCTTATTTATCATCTTCTTCCCCCATGAAACTATAAACCCGGTGAGACAGGCCCACACACTATTTACTTGCCAGTGTGTACGTCCAGTGCTAATACATGATACCTGCTCAATAAATATTTGTTGAATGGATGGAAGAACATTTTTAGTGCCATTTCAACAATGTTTTAAAGGATAATAATCATTTCATCTTAACATCTGCATGTATAAACATACCACTTTGTATATAAAGGGGAAAATAGGTTCTGTAGAAACAACAGTTTTATCTGTACTTACTGTTGGTTTCTTAGATTTCCTGTGTTTCATCAAGAAGAGAGATGAAATCTATTACCAGGATGAAAAGAACATTTTACAGGGTAAGTATTCCAATTCATGTTTTGAATACTTTAAGTTTTGAAATATGAAAATTTCTTGCTTTTATATTTCTATTTTTTCTGCAGATTGGATACAAAGGAATCTACAAAGCCATCAGTGAATTGGATATTCTTCTGTCCTGGATTAAAGAACTCTTAGAGAATATTTCATAAATCAAGAAGCCAACTACACTGATTTTATAGTAATTTTGAAATACAGCGAGAACTACTAGAAAACAATTTATAGCCACATATTTAGTTTTGAAAGTTTTATATATATTACTGACAGGTGCATCAGAATAGATGAGAGAGATTTCATGTAATAAAATTTGGAGGTAAGTAAATTGTCACAAATTTGTACATTTTCTTCAGAGAATACTTTCACCTTGATCAAATTTTGTTATTTGCAAGTACATTGTATACATCTCTAATTTAAAGATGTATTAGTTAAATTAATTCATATATGAACTATGATAGAAAAATATGGTGAGTATTTAAATTTTTGGTAAAAGATACTTTGCCATGAATCTCCCTCAAAATAATCTTCCTTGCTTGAAATACATTTATTTCATTATTCTTGCCATTTTCTGAAGCAGTTCTGGTAAACTCTTTCATGAATGTCTTTAGTTTCATTGTCATGGCTGCCTCAATGTCTTGAGTCAATTAAAAAAAATTACTTTTCATTGTCATTTTTTTTTGGAGGTTAAGGGAGTTTTACTGGACATTTTAATAAGAATGCATTATGAATTCTGGTTTTATGGCCTCCCTTTTCACTTTGGGGAATGGGGAGAAATGACATGACTCCAGAGTCAGTGAATAAGGTGGAAGAGGACACGCCATAATGTTTTTACAAATCTTTTGGTCGAGCGGCATTGGGCAACGACATCCACCACATTTGTATCACAACTCATAAAGACACATAAACGAGGACTTCCAGAAGTGTTTCAGAAAGCGTCAAGGATGATGGGACAAATGCGTTCAAAGCAAGGGGGAGTATTTTGAGGCAAGTTAATGTACTGTACTAATTTGCTGTAATAAATTGTTAAAAATGTAAAGATTCACCGTATATTGTGACCACATTTCATATTATTTGTGGAAGGAAGATCACAGATTTCTGGGATACCATATGTACTGAGACTTAAATAGACACTATATGGATGACTTTGTTTCTTGAAGGATATGATGGCTATGAGCTATGCCAGTGTGAATTTGCTTTAACATTTTGAACTTAATCAGACACTGTTTTTTCTGCTGGCTATCCTTTCCGTGACAAGAGACTATAATTTTATTGGGTGCCATTGGTAAGAACAATATGACACCAGGGCCAGGGATATAGCTTAGCTCGGCATCATAGTGCCTGCCCAGCAAGCTCAAAGTCCTGAGTTTGATCCCTGGTGCCTAAATAAATAAATAAATAAAGAACCATGACATCACACAGGATGTATAAGTCAACCATTTAACTACTTGGAATGATGTACCAGGAATACCTTTGACAGATACCCAACCAAAAACAAACAAACAAACAAACAACTACAAGCAACCAAGTTGGAATTACACTGAAATTTGATGACATTCTTCATGCTGTACAATTATAAACATTGAGAGAGGCCACAGTGCAGCTCTGAGACCATTCTTTCATGTCTAAAACATTAATTATACAGTTATCCCTTTAGTTAATTGAATAATTCACTGAAAGGACTCTGCCTCACAGCTGCTGGTGCGCGGCACAGAGCCCTAGAGCCGTTTCTGAGACTGTGTCCGGAGCACTGGCTAGCTCTGTCCTCGTCACTGTGCATCTGCACCCTGTGATTTGGTGCCCTGTGGAACAATGGGCAGGGCTTCCACAAGGCCTTCATGGATGGTGTCCTTGGCAACTGCCCATTTTTCCCCATCATCTAGTTCCTTTTGATTGTTGTGATTCACATGGGCCTTGCATTCACAAGGAGCCATCTCTCTTGGTTGATCTTGTATGCCAAAGTTCCCCCTTTCTGCCTTCCCACCATAGTCCCGTGTCTTGCTTCTGTTGGGGACCTCACTACTAGCAGGTGCATAGCATGGAAAGTGTGGTGAAGGGGGATGAGCGGGAGCCTGCAGGGTTGTTTTTATCTCGTGCTCTGACGTAGGACTCAGGCAGGCTCCTAGGTTATCAGTAGTGGGACAGTGTTTTTTCCTGAGGAATATTTGGGAGCACTGGGGCCCAGAGGATCAGGAATCTCCTCCCTGACTTGGTTGTGGACCAGAGAGGAGGAGATGGTGGCCTCAAAGCCCCTGTTGGCATTATATTAAGGCACTTGATACTTTTCAAGAATAGGCTCACTGCATGGCTGAGTTAGGATCAGACCTGATTGGTTGGTCTTGGTAACAAATATCCTTAAGCCACCCCATTACTAAGAGTCTCTAGATATCAGTGAAGCTGGGGAGCTTTCATTTTCCAATCAGCAGAGAAGTATTTATTATATGCATTTCAATCACATGATTTTGGGTATTTTGTTTCTCAAATATTTTTGTTTGCCTAGAACAGTTGAAAGGTGGCTTCATCAGCAATAACACTACAGGAATTTACAAGTCATCAGTGAATAAAGAACCAATGTTCACGTGTTGGTACTTCTTCACAAGTAAGGAACAAGCACAGTTTGGTGTGTTTGAGTAAAGAATACAATATTGAAGAGACACCTGAGAAGAGAACGGCTGGTACCTTTGTGTGGAGACTATGTCTTGGAAAGGTCACTGTGGCCTCAAGGATGAAGCCTTCTGATGTACTGGTCCCACTCTGGACTTTATCAGAACCAGACGTGATTCCCTTTGGAAATGGCTTCACTGTATCAAATGCCCACGTGATATACAAACTCCAAGCCCATTTAGGGATTACAGAAGGAGATTCCAACTTGTTGGATCACTTCTAGGAGACTAACTGTCCCATTAAAATGTTGTATCTGTCAGCATGTAGTAGGGCCATGAAGCAAATCCTCAGAGCAGGTAGAGTAGAAGTAGCCTGAGTATCAGCCAGAAGCACAGAGTGTAATAGAGATCCCTTGGTCAGGAGACCTGGCTAGTCCTGACTTCTTCACCTCACACAAAACTGTACCCTCCCTGACAAATCTCTTTCCATGCTGTACTTTTCTCTGAGCCACAACTATGCCCTGCCAGCACCTGTGTTTGTTCATTGCCTGTTTCTTCCATGTCTGAATACTGGCTCTGTGGGGTGGGGCTTGGGTCTGCATTATTCTCTATAAGGTCCACAGCACCTGAACAGATCGACACAGGGCAATACACAAGCATGGGCAGACTGTGCTGGGCCAGGAGACAGTGGTTGGGGCCTGGGTCTGTGAATGGTCTTAGGACTCATGGTCAGGTCACATTGCCTCCTGGGTTTTTGTTTCTGGATTGGTCCTGATTGCAATTAGTTGCCACTGTGCTTCAGGCAGACATCTGGTGGTCTCGTGTAGTCCACACTCTCAGGTCTCCCCTACTCTCTTTTTTTCCATCACCTGTTTCCAACGTTAACTCCAGGCCCTTCTTTGCCTGGTTAATTTATCCTGATGCTTTGAGGTTTCATTCAAACATCACCCTTCTGATAATGGTTTTATACATGCTGTATGTCTTCAGAGAACCTACACAATTATAAATCCTTTACTGGGTATAGAGTCAATGCCTGTCTCTATGCCTGGACTGTCTTTCTGACTCACTGTGGTTCTGCTTCTGATCTTACACATAGTAAATACACAGTAAATATTTGTTGAGTAAGTGAACAAAGTAGGAAATTGAATTAATGGTCTCCAAGGTTTCTTCCAGCTTTGGCATTCTTTGCTACCATAATTTCATGAGTTGACACAACCTTAAGGATTGGAGTGCTTCCCAGCTTTAATTTTCTAAGAGCATCTATTCTATTATTAGCACAGCAATGAATTTAAATGGACATATATTTACTTGCTCTAAGTGAAAGGCAAATAAATATCTGTCTCAAAAAATAGATTTCTAAGACTATTCTTAACTAAAATGCCTTTACATGCAGACCATTTGGAATCATCTTGCAAACCTCTGGGTAAAATGTGTCTGATATACTGGGAAACACTGAGTTATTATGAATTTCCACTGTCTCATTCTGGTCCAATTTAGAAATATATGAAATTGGAACCAGACCATTTTTTACCTGCCTACAGATACCAGTTTAGAAAAAGTCAAGCCACGATGGTCAGATTTCAAACTGGTTTCAGCTCTCCTGTCACTTTTTCCAGCGATTCAGGGAGGCAAGCGTACTCACCCAGTCAGTCGTTCCATGGGTCTGATGACTGGGACTCTTGACGCAGGATGGTGGTGTGGCTGCACGGCCCTTTTCATTCCCCATCATCCCTGGTAGCCACGGTGGATGCAGCTTCTAGGGAGGGAGCTGTAAGACCCACTGTTTTTCAGTTCGTGAAGCTGTTGGATTGTTCAGATGGTAGGATCCAAAAGTGAAAGCCTGGTTGTGCAGAGCAGGAAGAGCATCAGACCGTTTAAAAACAACCGTAGAACTGTGATGTGAATGCGTAAATATCATTAGAATCCACAAGCATTGATATTCCTTCACCACGGTTGAGTTGCTAACTGCAGTAGAAAACAATTGGTTCTCTAAACACTTATTGAACGCTTACAGACTGTTACTCACACAGTCACAGCGAGGTTAATGATGATAAATAAAACTTTCCTTCTACCAATTTCTGGGTAGAAAGACAAATATGAAGACAAACAACTAGACAGTGAAATGCAAGCAATCACAGAAATGTATACAAAGTGCAGGGTAGTGGAGGTCCACACTCTGCTGAAGAGATGAAGTTTGAGACAACTTACACCTTGAGACTTTTTCAATGTCACCTCTTCTAGCAAGTCTTCCTTGGTCCCTTGTGCAACCCATTCCTAGGTTGGCTTAGATGTCCCTTGTATAGAATATTTTCAAAATAACATTTTTATACTGCACTGTAATTTTATGTGTGCTTGCTTATCTTCTTCATGAAGGTGCAGAATTTTATTCAGCGTTGTCTCTTCAGGGCCTTACATAGAGGTTGCTTCATAAGCAGAATTATTTTTAAAAATGAAACAATGAAATTAAAAAAATGTCACTAAGGCCAAAAAAATGGAAATGGGGCTAGGAGTATTAGAAAGATAAATTTGACAGGACTTGATGGCCACTGGTTTAGAGGTGATCAGT